GGAAAAACCTTGAACGTATGTGTGCACTGTTTGGTAGCGTTTAATCCAAAGCTTTGTCAGTTTTTGGCTTGCTGTGCAGGTCAGGAGATGAGTCCGGTTTCAGGTGCTGACATAAAGCAGGAGAAATAGGATGATTCTGTAATGCTTGTAATGCTTCTGTAATGCAAAAGTGTAGAAAAAAGGGCATCTGAATCTCTGCTCTGGAGATGTGTTCCCTATTAACAGCTCGCTCTGAAAGCCAGGCAGTTTAGAGACATTCCCATCTGTAATTTTCCTATTCCCTGCTCTCCAGCTCTGTAGCGTTGTGTAAACTCCTTCAGTATGGCATCAACACAGATGACAAGCGTCTTCAGGACATTCGAGTAAAGGGAGAAGAAATATTTAATATGGATGAGGGAATACGGACACGATCAAAGTCAGCCAAAAGTAAGTAATCATTTGCTGTTTTTAACAGGTTTTTTTTTCCCATTAGTAGATGCTATGAAAGGCCGTACAATAGATCGTGCAGATCACACCAAGCTGTGGGAGATATTTCCTACAGAAGGTGCATGTTGGTTTTTAGAGCTAATCCATACATCTCTTACAGATCCTGAACGCTGGACAAACATTCCTTTGTTAGTAAAAATCTTAAAATTAATAATAAATGAACTCTCTAATGCGATGGAAGCAAATGCGTCTAGGCAGACAACTGCAGATTGGAGCCAAGGTAAAATACTGGGATTGCTTTTCCTCTTCGCGTGGCTTAAATCTACTTTGTAATCTCTCCAGAAGCATTTACAGTCATAAGAAACTCACAACAGTAAACAGTATACCTGTAATTACAGAGGCTTAAATAGTGATCCAAAGGATAAAATCAGCCAGTGTTGTGATCTTAAACCTGAAAATTATTTTGGGCTAGTTTGGAAGATGGGATCTGACCATATGCCAATAAAATTATCCTTTCTTGGTGTACTGGTTTGCCTTTCTTCCTCCCTACTCCGGGCATCCATTCTTGCAGCTGCTTTTTGCTGAGCTCCAGTCCTTGCGTTACTCGTTCTGAAGGGCTGGCGGAGGTTGCAGGCGTTTCCCTTCATCCGCCTGCACGAGCAGGGCCGTTTGCCTAAAAACTGTACAGTCCCCTGTATAGCGATCGGCAGACCGGACCTCTTAGATTTTGTTTATTTTTAGAAATTTTTGTTTTCTAAACAGATGATTCCAATGATATGTGGGAGGACCAGGAAGAGGAGGAGGATGAAGATGAAGGCTTAGCAGGACAGTTCTTGTCAGATATTCTTTCCACAAACAAGTATGGTAAGTAACAGCTTTTAAGTGCTTACTCAAAGTGAAAATAGAGTAGATGACATCCTAGTCAAAGTTTTCTTTCCTTGACAGCAGCTCAACAGAGACTGCAGGCAAGGGGAAGGAAATATTACACTGGGATTTTGAATAAGGATTTTTTCCTGTAAGAGAGGGACGTGTCTGGATAACACGATGATTAAATAACTGCATTTTTCACCTGAGAGTTTAAATGCCACATAGGCTTCCTGTTGCTGTGAGGTTCGTGCAGGTATTTCTTCTAAAGAGAAAATTGATGCTTAAGGATGTAGACATGACTTTGGAATGACAATGTCGCAGCAGTGGATGAGCTTGTTTGTGGAGTGACCTCGAGAAATAATAGCTGCGTAAAGATGAAGCGGGTATAATATCTCCTTTCCTCTGCTCTCCAGTTTGCATATAGTCTTAGAAGAGAGAACCTTGCAGGCAAATACAATAAGGGAGACTACTTACATGAGCACAGAATCGGAAATGTGTCACCCTGACATAAGGTTAAGGCATAAGATAATATTGCACATAACTAACAAACCTGCTCGGCTAGTGCCCCGTGTGCTCATCTCACCCGCGCGTTCCTCGAGACTCCCACTGTGACCCGTCGTCGTCTGTGGTGTCGTGTTCTATAGTCATCTGAACTTCAGGAGCAAATATTCTGGATACAAATTTTTTTACCCAGCAGTGCTGAAACGATTTCTTTTTGGATCCTTGGCTTTCAACAATAGTCTAATAGAATACTTCCTGCGATATTTTGCTTTGTTTGATGTTAAAACCTGCTGATTTGCCTCTGACAGATGAGGATTACTATGAAGATGATGAAGAGGACGATCCAGATGCGTTAAAGGACCCTCTTTACCAAATAGATCTCCAGGTGATGTTCTAGAATGAGGCTTTTGAATCAGATCCCTATCATTCTTTATCAACTTAATTTTTTATGTTGTACTTCAACAAAACTGTAAACGCCAGTTATGGATTGTTGTCCCAAAAGTTCTCAGTTCATTGAAATTACTTTGCAAAGTGCTGAGTATCCCAAGAATGCCTGGAGCTGGTTTTTCTTATTGGATCAGTATCTATAACTTGGAAATGTGAATGAACACAACTTTTTGAACGGAGGGAGATGGGACTTTTCTACCCATGAGCTTTACAGCTATTTGCTGAAGTCAGATTGGAGACTGAACAGGACAGGATTTCCTACTCGGCTGGGAGGTGCCCCCCTCCAGCCACAGCCCCTGTATGACACTTTGCTCCTGCTTTTTACCACCACCTGGCAGCCGTTTATCAGCCCTTCCCTCTGCTGCCGCCCGCCCTTCTGCATCGCTTTTCTGTTCCCTCGCGATCCCTTTGTCTTACTTGGTGCATGTTGAGGTTTATCCTTTGATACACGAAAGAAACAATGTCCAAAGTGACGTGATGCTAACTGGGTCTTTCTGTCTTCCTTTCAGGCCTATCTGACTGACTTCCTCTGTCAGTTTGCACAGCAGCCCTGCTATGCAATGTTTTCAGACCATCTCAATGAGAACGAAAAGCGAGTGTTACAGGCCATTGGTATATAAACCCACTCGAGAGACCATCCCGATCATATCTGAACAATATTTTTTTGGCTTATTCCACGTTTTATGATTAAACATAAAACATTTTCCAGTGTCTACCTGCTTGTTACAGGTGGGTGATGGCCTCGTTGCGATGTATTGAGCCTCATCTTAACATGAATCTGCTAAGGGAAGGAATACTAAGAAAGCAGCAAGGACAGAAGTCTGTAGAGCTTTGCACATCGGTCTCACCATGGGAGCACTTTCATTTTCCACAGTAACTTTCCAGGAAGTTCTTAAAGATAAAAAAAAATGTGTCCTTAATATTTTTAAAAGCAAACTGTCTCTACCTGTGAAGAGGCACTTAACCGAGTTTCCCACAGCACAGTTGGACAGAGAAAGGAATTGGGTAACTTACAGATTGCTTGGACGTATCTTGAGAAATTGGAAGGTTGTTCCTCTTCGCGCTCGCATAACACATACAGGGTAAATATCTTGATCTTACAGTGTGACTTCTTTTTATAGAACTATAGACTCTTTTATCAGAGATGCCTGAATGGTATGGAACCTGTTTACAGGAGTTTGGATGGGAAGCTGAGACAATAAAACCGAATGCGTATCCTTTCCTGTTGTGGATGGGGCTTTGTTGCTCACATCTGCTGTCTAGTCCCATGGGAGCAGTTCTTTACTAATGCTTTTGTATGCACATGCTCAAAGGAAGCTACCACTTAAATTTCTGTTCCTGTGGCATGTGGCTACTAAAGACTTTGGTTTTATGGAACACAAGGAGCCACAATTTTTAGGGGAAAAACACCTGATTGTATTTAACGTATTTGCTCCATGACAGCCACTCTGAACTACTTTGCTTCCTTCACACTCCTGTGTGTATTTTTATAGAGTGGTAAAATAACATTTGCAAATTGATTTACCCATAAGAACAGCGTGATGTATCTCACAACACCTCTCTGCCTTTGGTTCCCCTTTGGGGAAAATGAAAATAAAACTATTAAAATGTACATTGGTATCCTTCTTATAAAACAGATTTAAAAGGAACTTGCACTTGTTTCCTGAAGTCACTTTTTTAAGACATATGTCTCCATAGGGAATTTTCTGTATGTGCCAGCTGGAGGATGTTAGGGTATTTCGCAGGAGTCGTCTGGACAGAAAGGGAGTCCTGTAATGGATACATCTTCTTCTGCTTAAAAGAAAAAGGCTGACCCATTATAGAGTTTCCTTTCTTAAGAAAGGTACTTGCTGTTCCTTTGTGGAATAATATGCTTCGAAGTTGTATCTAAAAACCTCCAAAGAGCTGGAGTAATTCTGTATCTTACTGGTCTAACAGAGTATAGCTTTTCACTTTTTTACCAGGAGGGGATAATAAATTCACTTTTTAACAGATAAAGATGGCACTATTTGTTTAGCGTGTGTGGGGAAAATGGTAAAATAACCCTGAAGTCTAAAGCCGACCTTGCTCCCCTCTCCCACCCCAGCCCCTCACGCCGTGCCTGAGAGCGGGCAGAGCGAGGGGGGATCCCCACCTGTCGCTGCAGACGGATCTGACCCGTCCTCGAGTTCTCAGTGGTTTTGTATGACTAGCTCTGTGAGAAGCAGAATTCGAAGCCTGATTTCTGTGTGTGTGCATGCGTGTGTGTGTGTGTCTAATAAGGTATAAGCTCCGATGAAAAGTTTCCATGCAGCTGTGTCGCAGTATCTTTCTTCCCTGTGGATTTTCTAGTGTAGAAGAATAGATAATTAAACTGTGTGCCATGGCCGCCTCTTCAGTGGGAATGCTGCCGTTCTGTCTTCTACCTAGACATTATTTTTATTTTTTAAAAATCTATTAGGAATTTTGTTTTGAGGCATTTGTCTCTCCCAGCTTTCACTGAAAAGGGACAACAAGTTAAACTAAACAGTGCAGTCTCTTGAGGGAGCCAGACTAGACGTAGATGGCTGCAGTGGTGTGTCCTGATAGCTGTGCAGGAGGGATCGAGTGAGTGTCCGCAGAGTGACCGCTCCCAGCCCTGGGAAGAGGCAGGACCATCTTTTTTTGCCCCGTACGTTGGCAGGAAGGCTCAAAACCCGTCATCCATTCTTGGAGGTAAGTGAATACCAAACATCTGGAAGCATCGAGGTGTGTTTTAGGGTGTCGGTTGTCAATGGCGCATGGTCAGGTCTGGTTAGCCAGGGCTCGTGGAGAGGTGCTGGTGGGGTTCCTGTGCTTTCTGGTGGGTGTTGGCTGGTGTGTGCCGTAGTGGGGCTGGCTTTAGTTAAGTTGGATGGTGGGTTTAAACAAGTCCGTGAAAAATGAGAGCAGCCTAGGACTACTGGTACCATTCCTCATCCTGAGTTGAGAAATCAAAGGATTTCTTTGCAAGGTCCCGAAAGTGTCTGGTAGAGTTCCTGTGGGAGCTCTTCGGCGCGTTGGTTAGGAACTGCTCTTTGATTTGCAGGCGTCGATGGCTTTTCCAGGAGCGTAGCTGGTGAGATGGGAAAGATTGGGGAATAAGTGGCTTCTGGGGACTCGTGCTCTGCGCTCCCTCCTGCAGCATCAGCTCCCGTGAAGCCCGAGCTGCCCCGGCATGGTGCCGCTGGGATGAGGTGTGGATCTGGGACCAGCCCTGGAGACGGTGGGCACAGGAACAGCGTAGCTGCGCAGCACGCTTTGCGGCGAGCAAACTCAGGGTGTGCAGGATGCTTTTTGGCGAGAAATACTGTGACTCGGGCTTCCCCTGAAAAGAGGCCGGGTAGGATGTGAGAGCGACGGTGCACAAGGGGGATGGTTTGAAGGACCACTGGTGCTTGCGCTCATGTAACTCCTTTGCCCTTATGCTTGCTCACTGTTCTTCCTCCTAACAAAATTCGGAATGCTCCGTGATGTGTCTTTAAACCAGAAATTTTTTTTGCTGGAGGGGTGTCAGCTTTGCTGAAACAACTCTTGACCTGTAACAAGGTGATTGCTCAGGATGAAAAAAGCTGGACTCTACGGAGATGCGCCTAAGGCCTGGTTTCGAGGTGCAGAGCGCTCCTCTTGTTGTCTGCTCTTGAGAAGAAACTCAACTCGTAGTCATAAAGGTTACTAACGCCATGTTAGGAAATATAAGCTCCCTGTTAAACTAAATTGAAACTGAAGGGTGGGATGTAGGCTACCGCGCAGCCCTGGGCACATGCCACTGCCGCCGTCGGTGCCTGGCCCCCTCGGTGGGGAAGGACCGATGGCGTTTGGCACGCTGGGCGTTCCCTTGCTAGCACGGCGCGACGCTCCCAGCGCCACAGACTGGAATTGAACTAGTTAATAGCTCAGCTGTGACTCTGGAACGAGACTTTATGCGTATTCATGAGTATTGTTCTTGGTTTGGTTTTTTTTTTTTGTATTAACAAATAAACTTTTAACGGATAAACCTGCCTGGCTTCTGAGTCTTGCAGAGGCAGCCCCGGTCCCCCCGCGGTCACGGTCAGCTCCACCCGCCGGGCGCCGGCCTCGAACCCGGGCCCTTCCGCGCCGCCGCCCCCCCCCCCGAGCGGGGCATGCGGGGGGCTGTAGCCCCAGGGCG